ACCTCCCCTATACACAGCCCCATCACCTCCTCCTTTTCTGTGCTCAGGGCATGATTGAGACAAACTAGGAAAGCGTCGGATTCCAGATGAACCGCCTGCACCGCCTGCACCACCTGCACCGCCATCTTGCTCCGACCTTGCTCAAGTCCTCCTCCGGCCCACTGCGGCCTGACCAACCCAGAGCTCCGGCGCCGCTTCGCTTGCACCCAGCACTCGGCGCTCCGCCCAGGCTTGGCCTACCGCTCGGGTTCCGCGGGGGCGGGGCGGGGCCTGGCGGGGCCTGGCGGGGGCGGGGCCTGGGGCGGGTGGGGGCGGGGCGTTCGCTTGCACCCAGCACTCGGCGCTCCGCCCAGGCTTGGCCTACCGCTCGGGTTCCGCGGGGGCGGGGCGGGGCGGGGCGGGGCCTGGCGGGGGCGGGGCCTGGCGGGGGCGGGGCCTGGCGGGCCGCCCGTGCCAGCGCTCGCTGCCACCCTAAGACCAGGGATTCGGAGAGCCCTGGCCTCCCGCGCCCTTGCACTCGCAACCTCGGTTGCGCACTGGCGTAGTCTCCTCGCCGGTCCCCAGCTAGAATCTGGCGCTCTGGCTCGGGGCGGGGCCGAAGGCGGAGCTTCTGCCCTGGCGGGGCGGGACTCTCGTGGGTGCTGGGGTCCTTGGGTGCAGCGTCGTGAGGCGCTCGGCAGAGCCTGGGCGCACTGGCTTAGGGGCTCCCTACCCGGAATCTAGTCCTCAGCGACCGTGGCAGAGCCCCCCCCGCGCCCGCCCCCTGCGCGGGGGCCCCACTCCTGCCCCGCCCTGGTGGCTGCGCGCGCCTTGCCTGGACCCGGTTTGTCTGGTTCTCCCCGAGCGGCTCGTTTCTCGAATTTCTCCCTTTATGCCTCTTCCTGGACCTCCGGGCCCTCCCTCTCGGCCTGGCTCCTGAGGGCCCCGCAGGGGGCGTCGCGACACCGTGGCCACCGAGTTTCGGTAGGACCCACCCGCGACTGGGGTAAGGGGCGCGACCGGAGGTCCCAGTGCGCTCCGGATTGGGGGGGACCCTTCTTGGGGATTCCCCGCTCCGTCATCCCCCTCACACCTTGGGGACCCTCCGGTCCCCGGCTCCGCGCGCCTCTTCGAGGAACCACCGCTCGCTGCCTGGGACGCGGCTTTATTGGGGCCGTGGGTACCTGCGCGCGTTCCCGCCACCTACCCCGCCTCCTCCGAATCCCCGCGCGGTCCCACAGGGGGTTAAAGCGACACTGACTACCGCTCCCGGACAGGAAGTGACTGGGGCGCGGGGAGGAGGGGGCGAGGCCGCGCGGGCGGGCTCCACGGCCAGATGTGCGGCTCCAGCTCCAGATGCTGTCCGTCTCCATCGCGCCCGCCGTCGGAGCTCCTTCCGCCTCGGCCTGTGCCAGTCTGTCCAGCGCACGGAGGTCACCAAGCAACAGTGAGCCCCGCCGCCTCCTCTGAGTCCTTTCCCGTGTGCTGGCCGACTCTGGGAGCGCCGGGCACTGCGGGTCACTCGCAGGCCAGCTTCCCGTCGAAACTGGAGAGGGCGATGGCAAAGGCCTGCAGGGCGCACAGCGGGTACTGGTAGTCCAGGGTGAAGGCGTCCTCAGCCACGCGGCCGAACTGCAGCACTATGTAGTCGGCTGCGGACACAAGATGAGTGGGGGCGGCCCGAGGCCTCCTTGGACCACCGTCCAGGCAGCCAATGTCCTCACCACGGGGGAAGTCCCTCTTCCTATGGGCCAGGCCAGGCCAGCCCCACCCGTACTCCACTGCCTGGCGTGAGCCCCAAGGGCAGGGGACTGCCTTATCGGCCACTGCCGGGAGCCTGCTCCAGCAGGCACTTAAGGCGTGCAGGACCCTGTGGATCTCCCCAAGCTTGGAACCCTCCCTTCCCAATACGCAACTCCCTTCTAGCCCATTCCTTCACCCTCCTCCCAGGCCCCACAATGGACCCCAGACTCGGTCCCTTCACGCATGCCCGGTTCCCTTCCTTAGCTGGTGGCCTCACGGGCCCCCTCCTATTCTGATCCTCATCCCCAGCCCCAATCCCAACACCTCCCCCAGTATCCATAGGGACAGGGGAAAAAAAAAAAACCATAGGGACAGGAAGTTGCTAAAAATACCCCCCAACTCTAGCCTGGTGGCTCCACCAGAAATGTGATCCTGAGAGCAGTCCCAAGGCCAGGGGACAGGTGACACTGGGGCATATCCCTGAAACACAGTGTGGGGGTTGTTGCTGTGCGCGGCCCTACCCTGCAAAGCCAGTGTCCTCTGGGAGATGACCTTTCTACCCCACACTTCCTCACCCTGCTGGGAGCCTCTCCCCAGGGAACTGGAACAGGGACAGTTTCCCTTGAGTTCCAGGTACATCTTGTTTCCCTCTGGGTAGGCTTTTGACCACACTTAAGAGAAGACATAGGGGCCGGGGTGTTGGCACAGGAGAATAAGCTCTTGCCTGGCAAACGCAAGGGCCTGAGTTCAATCCTGTGTTCCACCAAAAAATAATGTTTTAAGGCATGGTCCTGAATTTGGCAATGTTTAGCATAGGGCTTCAAAAAAAAAAAAAAAAAAAAAAAAAAAGGAGGGGGGGAGAGAAGACATAGACTCAGAAAACTTGGTTAATATTCTTTGCTCTGAAAACATGAGAAACATGGGCACTGGAGACAGATTACGGGAGTTCTGACCTAGGAACTACATCTTAGATCTGTGTGACCCTGGGCAAGTTACTTAACCTCTCTGTGCCACCTGTTTTCTCATCTGCCAAATACAGATAGTGACAGTACCTTGGTCAGAGGATTGTTGAAAGGATTTTGGGGGCATTATCAGTAAAGCTCCCAAAGGACACCTGGCACAGTACTGGGTCTGTTTTGTGAAGCAAGTTTTGAGGAGCTTCATAGAGGAGCTGGGCATCCTCTCAGGCCTCAGCAGTCTCTTTAACCACACAGGGCCTTAGTGGGCACTCTGGTTTTCAAGCCCTAGCAGCAAAACCTAGCCTTCCCACTTTTACCCAGACTGTTGGCCTGGCTCGCACTCTGGGCTCTGTGGACACCCACACTGGGGAGACACCTGCTGGGCACAGCTGGGGCCAGGGCTCCCAGAGACTCACGGTCATCGGCATGGACGATCTGGAAGTTTTTGACCGAGGCCTGGGTAACCCGGCCCTGGAAGTTGAGCGTGTAGGAGCCGCTCTCCTCATTCCACACAGGTGGCTTGTTGTGTAGCTCAATGAGGCTCTCCAGGGTCTTGTTCTGCCACCGTACCAGGAGCCCATCGCTGGCCTGGGGGTGGGGGTGGGGTCAGTTAGTGGTGGTGGGACAGCGAGGGTGGTGCTGACCCAGAAGGGTGGCCCTTTGTGCCCTGGACAGTGCAGCCTGTGAGACCCAGGGCTCCCAGCACACAGGCAGTCCTGTGGATGTGCTGCCACCCCCAATTACAGGCATGAACTTGGCATTCACAGCCTGCCAGGGCCCAGAGTTGAGCTTGGGTGGACATTGGCTGAGGGTGCCCAGGGAGGGGGTTCTGTAAGGAGGGAGCAGTGTGGGGAAGATGGTGCTTGTGAGGCTTCTTTCTTGCTTCACATTTGTGTCCATAGCTTGGGTTCTGTCACTCAAGGTCCTGTCTTCCCCAAAGCCTTCCAGACCCCAAATCTCATGCAGATGGCCCAGCCCCAAGCTTCCATAGTATGTGTTCCCCCAGGCCTCCACTAATATGCAGGAACCGTGCCTCGGTTTCCTGAGTTTGGATCTTAGTGTCTGGCCCAGAGCTTGTACTGAAGAAATGACTGTACATGCCGGGCATGGTGGCACATGCCTGTCATCCCAGCACGGGGG